GAAGTGAATGACAAGAGCAGCCAATTGACAGTTTTATCCGCTGTTTATCTTTAGGCAACTAAACAAACAAGTTTTCAAATGAACTTCTATCAGCAGTATCGATCTCATATCTATTAAACACCAGTTAAATGACCGAAACAAAACTTCCAAAATATATAAAGACTCAATTTGATTTATATTTCTTAATACACGACATAAATGTAGAAAAAAAACAAATTATTGATGAAAGCTCATTGTTTGTACAAGCAATGAAGTTTCAGTAATAATCAATCGGTCATCAAATCTTTATTTGCTCGAACGACTGTCCCTGCTACTGGCAGAACGGCGCCTTTTCGCTTCCTCCTTCTTGGCTTTGGACTCCTTTTTCCTCTGGGCCAATAACTTGGCGTAGTTGTCGGCCTCCTCTTTGCGTTTCAGGCACCTCTTCTTCTTCAGTGCCAAACGGTGGCGCTTTCTTTGCACAACCACAGGGGTTACCAAGCGTTGGATTCTTGGGGCCTTGTAGCGCTGCTTTTTGCCTTCCTTCACTGGGAGTGGACGCTTGACAACATATTGTCTCACATCGTCATCCTTGGTAAGGTTGAACAGCTTGCGGATGTTGGAGGCCCTTTTAGGTCCAAGACGACGAGGGACAGTGGTGTCGGTAAGGCCGGGAATTTCCTGCTCTCCTTTACGGATGACGATCAAGGCGAGGACGGACAAGTTGCCGTCTACGATGCAGCCGCGGACCGATTTCCTCTTGCGCTCACCTTGGCGTCTTGGTCTATAACAGGAGTGCCCTTTTGACAACAGCAATCGAACACGGCTGTTGGTAAGCACTCCCTGTTTCATTGGGAAACCTTGTTTGTCGTTTCCTCCAGCGATTTTCAGGACATATCCTTTCCATTCTTCGCCTAATGGATCAGCCTCCACCTCCTGACCCATGCGCTTTTCGTAGAATATACGAATTTTGTGTTCGTCCACTACTTCGAACAGCTTTTGACATCCTGTCGCAGGATACGATACGTTCAGCTTCATTTTTCACACAAACTTATTGAAAAATCCCTGCGTTTTACTATAAAAAACCACTAATTATGGGAACTCAAAAACCACATGGATACGCCATGTCACAAAATGGCCGAACGTAGGATTTCTATTGACATGGTAAAACTTAACTAAGTGGGAAGGGCAACGTTGCCAGTGAAAATCGTTAACTCATTTAAAATAGAGAGCAAGTGTTTCTTGACTAATCCTTTTGCACTCTTTTCGGTGGCATAATTAGCTATAAATACATATTAAATATGTGAATAATTTTATATCACTGAGGATAATTATCATAAAATACTGCCACTTGAGATTCGAAATATTTGCGAAATTATAGATTTTAATTTTAAAACTAATATTTATTACTTCAACATCTGCTTTAATAATCCACATAAAATAGACCTATTTCTGGGATATTACTTAAAATTTTCAAAGTAATAATAAATTTCTGCTTTAATTACAGAAATATTTTTAATATGGGCAACACTGAGAGCAACGATAGCTCTTCTTTTGAAATGTGAGTGACATTAACTGACGAAATAGTTGCATTGGAGTGCGTTCTGAAATGGACGCATAGTGCGATGTAACTGTCTGAAATCTTCATTAAAAACTAATTTAAATTAATAAATATTATAAATTAAAATACTAGATTTGCTTTCTGTTCAAATAAACCATGCGGGGAACAGTATACGTACCTAAATGAAAAATATGCGAATTTTGCACCTACAAACGACTTTTTTTCATAATATTATTTTTATTATTTGAGAGCAAAGCATACATTTTTTCAATCCAGTTTTTTAAGCGGTTTTATAAACCTACATTGAAATGCAGGTTTAACTATGGGTGTTAAGTGCATAACAATATTATTATATGAGTTCATCTCATAACTACAGCTTCTATTATACAGTTATATCTATTATATAGTTTTATTTGCAGGCAAATATTCAGCGTAGAGGCAGGGGGAAGATAAGTTTTTAGTTCTGATCAACTTTTCTTAATACAAATTTTTGATATTGTCAAAAATGAAAATACATTAAATATATACTATAGTCTATAAAAAAAATCTGATGGTGCATGTTAGGTTTTTGACCAAGCTGAACTTTTTATCAAGAATCATTTGTTTTCGTTAAATTTATAATAAGATAAAGTTTTCCATATGGTGCGAACTTATAAAACGTAGACACACTGTACGCTAAAGGGGGATGAATGAAACAGATATTTGCGAAGATTTTCAAGCTTTTTGAATGAACGGCTGTATCTATTTATTTAATTGACCAACTGTTTCGAAATATAAAAAAACAGTTAGATGCTATAAGCTAATGTTGCTTTGATAAATAGTGATATTATATATAAATTGGTTTAAAGCTTGTCGTTTCGTTTCTTGTTGTTCACCGTTGCAACGCGATATCTTTCTGGCGAACCAGAATTTGGTTCCTAACGTTTTATTTTTAACAAATAATTGCCTTTTAAGATTTTGCGCTCTCGGATTGAACCACACTGTATTATAATTATGCTTGATTTTTGATTACAGTATTTATTAATTTATAGGTTAGTAGCCGTAATGCCATTAGCCAATAGTATGTAGTCTGTGGCCATTAGATAGTAAGATAAAAAGTTCAAAGTTTAACTTTCAACAGAATAAAATTGCATACTTTCAATAAAAAACAATTGTCTAGTTAAAACACACATCAAGTGCTCTAAACTGAAGTGCTAAACAACGCAAGGTCCAATGGTATTAATTTAGTTTTCGACTTACACTAGAGAAGGAAATTATTTTTTTTATTTATTTGCAATTAAAACCATGAATACTATAAACTCAATCCGTGCGGCAATTTATAGGACTTGCCAAATTAAATATATTATGCCCACATGCAAATTTAGTACGGTAATTATTATTAACATAGAAAGAATTTGACGTAGGTATATGTAGAAATAATTTTTAGAGCATTGTTAAATTTGTAGGAATTAAAAACCGATGTTCAGGGGCAAACCATCAATTATCTTAAAGTAGGGCATGGACCTAAAAACATTTTCTGCTTCCCTGGCGCTCTTGGAACTATCTGGAGTGATTTTAAACCTCAAATCGAAGGACTAAGTCCGWGCCAATTTACTATAATAGCATGGGATCCTCCAGGCTATGGTGCAAGCAGGCCGCCCAACAAATCTTTCAATCGTCGATTTTACGAAAATGACGCTGAAACAGCTCATGCTTTGTTGCAGGTAATAATCGAAATCAACCTAGGAACGGTTTTTTTTTACAATTTTGGTTTGCAATTTAGCAACTCGGAATTTCGAAATACTCGTTATTAGGATGGAGCGATGGGGGTATTTCAAGTATAATATTGGCTGCGAAACATGCTGACAACGTAGAAAAGCTCATGATTTGGGGAGCAAATGCTTATATCCTTCCTGGAGATCTGGAAGCTTTTGAAAGTAGGAATCGCGCAGAAATTGTTCAAATACCGGTTAATATAATGTATTGCGTTTCAGAAATTAGGGATGTAAGCAAATGGTCATCACGAATGGCAGATCCTTTGATCAAATTGTACACTAAAGACGGCCTACAGGAAATGTGGGGTAGTTGGTGTGACACGATGGTAGAGATTTTCAAGAACGGCGGAGACATTTGCAAATCGTCCTTGGCAGATATTCAGTGCCCAACGTTAATTTTACATGGTCATAAAGACCCTTTAGTTGCACAGGAACATCCAATGCACTTGTTGGAAAACATAAGAAATGCAAGGTAAGAAAGAAGTTTTGAGCTGAAAAAAGGTGTCACTTTTCGTGTTGTTTCAGATTGCATGTGTATCCTGAAGGCAAACACAATATCCATCTAAAATACGCTGAGGACTTTAATGCAATTGTTTCAAAGTTTATCATGTCTGATTCATGTCTGTAAATTAGCATACATTGGGGAAGTTAAACTTAAAAATTTGTCTGTAACTGTAAATAAAAAGTTTATTTGTATATCAATAAAGGTAGAGTTGTAAAAATTCATGTTTTGAACAATTTGAACTTTTTAAAATACCTTTGTATCTCTTCTTTGGGGTAAGGCTTTACTGCTATGCAAGTTGCTATATTTTCAGGCTGTTCAATCCACGTTTTGTGACTGATGCCCTTTTCTTCTAACGTATTTTTCAAGCTAATTATGCTCTGTTCGTCTGGAGCTTCCAATACGATTTTATGCATATTATCCAAATCTTGGAGGTACAGTTTGGTTTGTTCATCTTCGTAAAACATATGAGTTACGGCTGTTACTGCATGGCAGGCTTGTGCAATTAGGGCCCCCACAGGCCACTTTAATTCTTTTAGCAGATCTCCTCGTATTACTACATACTGGACTATTATTGACATTTTTACAAGTTTCAGCTAATTTGGAACTGGAGGGCGTGTATCAAAAGTCTATGATTTAGATAGTTTAACAACCTAAATTGAATACATATTGTTTTTTTACCTGTATTTGTTGAAGAAATTTTTGAAGTTAATAAAATAGGTTAACTTCTTGCGGCTTCCTATTTGGCAGCACTGAACTAAAGCCCACAGATAAAGATGTAAATAAAATTTACATAAAAGTTCTTCTGTTTGTTCAATTCCAAAAACTTGATTTCTTTTTTAAACTCATTTTTTAGTTAATTTTCGTCAGTTATTTGTATTTCATTATTTATATTTACTGCTCTTGCACTATTTAATTTTTATGGCCTACGTGACCAGGTATTTATAAATTATATATTTTGTTGAATGTCAACAAAGGTTTGACGGTTTTGTGTGATATCTTAACCAAAGAAATCCGTATTTTTATTGCACTTTATATAAAAAGTTGCTGTTTCAGCCGACTTAGTTTAATTAACAGTTTTATTTAAATCGTGTTAGTAATCATGCCAGTTTCCCTCAACACTGAAGAGGCATTTAACAATGCAATTAAGTGAGTACCAAGATTGTCTATTACATCAAGTTTTAGTAATAATCTCCAAGTACTCTTTGGCAATAATCATTCCCTCAGGATCTGTTGTTGAATGCGTAATTTGTGTGTTTTTATTGTAATTAACAAACAAAATGCAATCTCATTGCAATTGAAACTAGAAACATTCAGTGAGTTTAATAGGTTTTGATTAAGTAACTTTCAAAGTACTAGTGTAAGTTGATTTTTTAAATATAATAAGATAAGGCCCCCTAACATGGTTGAGATTCATTTCACTATTTCAGTTGAGCCTGCGATCCAGATTGTACATAATCACGATATTTACTAAACGAAACAAAGTGAAAGTCTGCAAATGCCCTTAAACGTCTTAAGTCGTGCAAATATGAAGCTTTATAAGCTTCGAAATCACTTGGCGTTTTTTTTGCCCGGAAAACGCATATTTTCGTTTTGTGAATCTATCGAAAACAAGCATATTTCCTTAACGAACGATAATGAAAGTCTGCAAATGTCTTTACCTAACGTTTTTGTTTGTGCAAAGAAAGCGAGGGAATTTTAAGACTCTACATTTGCAGGCAAAATATCCGAATAAAATAATTTTTGTGTACGAAAATGTTAATTAAATTTAAAGTTAGCGACAAACACTTCCAGTTTCTAGAAAAAAAGCTGACCCAACTGTGTGAATATGTATCCGCCTCAACTATCTTAGTCTTATTTGTAATTAAGGTCTTCACAATGAATTACTTTTCATTTTATTGCTGCAGACAACCATCATTGACAGTAATCCACTTCCAAGCAGCTTGGGCTGATCAGTGTACTCAAGTGAATGAATTGCTAGATACGTTAGCTAAACAAGTTGACTTTGCCAGTGTGAAATTCTACTCTTGCCCTGCTGAAGAACTGAGTGAAATTGCCATAAAATATAACATCGAGTCCGTACCAACGGTGCTCTTGTTTCAATTGGGCGAAAAAGTTGACCGAGTGGATGGAGCGGACGCACCAAAAATTACCGAAAAAGTTCGATTGCATATCAGTAAATCGGAGGGCGAGAACAAGACTGAGTCAATCGATGATAAGCTGAAAGCTCTAATAAATAAGGACAAAGTAATGCTGTTCATGAAAGGAGACCGAGTCAAACCCAGATGTGGCTTTAGTAGGCAAATAATTGAAATTTTAAATAGCACAGGGTAAGTGTATTTAGATTAAAACAATCGTTGGCGTATGTGTACGTATGTAATTTTATAAACTTTTCCACCAAGTTCGGTCTGCTAAGAAAATTATGATGTCTTATTTACATAAATATTTAACTTAATCATTTTTGAAGGTAAGCGAACGAATAAAATTTACTTGAAAAACTCCTTTGATTTACTAAAATATTGTTTTACATCTTTCCACTCCTGTTGATTTCTGTCCATATAAGTCATATGAAAGCTAAGCTAATAAGAAAATTGTATGTTTGAAGCTTCATTCTTTCAATATTTATCTAAGATGCATATTAATTAAATTGTTTACTGATTCACTTTATCGCTACTCATTGTTCATTTAACAATAGTTTTGCCGATAGCAAATCTGGAAGCAATGAAAATTTTGATAACAATTTTTTGTTTTTTTCTCTCGAACATTTTATGAATTCAAAGTATTTAAATACGAATTCCAAATCATGATGTTCATACTGACCATGATGTTCATGATATGACCAAAAAGAATTAAAATTTAGGTATATTGAATCACAACAGTGAATTTGTTAGGCGAACAAACCACCCAGAAGAAGATGTAAAAGTTTATACAATTTTTATTTGATTTCAAAACAGTTCAAAATGTTTCTACAAATATGGTTATTAAACTTAATTTCAATGGTACAGATACAACTTATGTTTTCATAGAATAAAATAAAGGATTTTGAATTTTGTAAACTTTAAAGTTATAATAATACAAACTATAAAATATCAATTTCTATTAAGACTTATCATTTGTGTAACAAATCAAGTTTATCTGAAAAGCGGTTGATACTCGATATTTTTAATTAAAATATTAAATTTTATTCCTGATCCAAAACCATATAGGAGTGTGTACCATTTAAATTTAGACAGAAATTGGAGTTTAAAGTTATTTAATTTTTCGGACATCTTGAATAGATTTACATTGAAATTAAATGTGTATTAAGTAGTAAAAGTGACTTTTTAGTAATGTTATAAATTAAGCAGCGTGAGTAAAAATTGATAATGTTGTCATACAGTGTCACATTTGTCCACAATACTTATACAAAATATATCTTTAAATGTATAGAAAAAATATAGAAAAGTAGGTTTCTATGTACATATACCATGACTTATTATAAAGTACATTTTACCTATGAATTTAATACTTTAGTCATATGCAAGTTGTTCCAAAAAATATTTGGAATGTAACTTTTTTGGAGTCATCTTGAATGTCTGAATCATCAAAAATTGGATTAGAAATATATGTTTTTGTTCTTTTGAAATAAAGCAGTACGAGAATAAGTTGTAACTGCTCAAAAGAAGTATTTTGTTATTGGTTGCATAAAACATAAATACTGTTTGAAAACTGCACTTCTTTCTTAAATACGGTAAAAAAACTATAAATATGGTTACTAATGAAGTTTTTAATTTGCAGAGTGTCTTATAGTACTTTCGACATTCTTCAAGATGAAGAAGTTCGCCAAAGTCTTAAAGTATATTCTGATTGGCCCACTTATCCACAGTTATATATTAAAGGCGAGCTTATTGGGGGATTAGATATTGTTAAAGAAATGATGGCAGACGGATCGCTTGCTACATCTTTAGTCTAACAAGTGCGGTTTCAGTGTAGATCATGTTCGCTGGCTTTCAGGAAGTTATTAATATTTCCTGCCTAAAGGCAAAACATTACATTAAACAATGTATCTTATGATATAAATACGATCCATTAAAACCAATTTAAGAAACATTTGAAGACGTTTTATTACCAAAATAATATTGAAACACATTCAACAAAAATCAGTATCTAATCAGCTTCATTATTAATTGCTGGCAATTCTATATCTTGGACTTTCTTGGTTGGCAATAAAATAGCCGCTATTATCAAGACTGAAAAGAAAAACGAACATTAATATGTTTTTTGCGCTTTATAATTAATTGTAGCGCTACTTACTAACATGGTTTATGGCCACAAATATAAAAACATATTCACAGTAGTTGTAAAAAATCACTCCAACTATATTCGAACCAATCATTGCTCCCATTCTTCCAATCATCAGAGACACGGCCATGGCCAATGCCCTAACACTTGTTGGATATAAATCGACTGCCAATGCATTTACAACTCCTATCAATGCGGAAATTAGCAAATAAATTCCGCAAAATATTAAAATAAGTTCATAGCCGGAGATATATTGGGCTATAAGGCCGCATATTCCGGTGATCACGACAAATCCTATAATTTAATATTTTATTAGAAATGGAATGTTTAATGTAACGTTACGTTTTACCTATTAGTAATACCTTTTTTCCAATCTTATTTATGAAAATTCCTATTAGTATATAAGTAATTCCAATTGCCACAGCAGTCAGTAGCATAACTAAGAAAACCCCGGGATCTACAGAGTCGATACAACTATCTTCCTAAAATATGTTAGAGAAAGCCTTTGTTGGTTAATTATAATTGAGCAGATGCCCAATTCGGTATGTGATTTACTTTAATTGATAGTCTTCGTATTTTTTTGTTCAATAACCATTAATTTGTCCTGCTTACTTTTTTACCGACTTACCTGAGTAGTGTAATTTCTATTTGCTTGCCATAAATCGAAGCTTAAATAATCCGTTCTTAAATCGGTTAGGGTTCGTGGTTCACTGCGAATCCCTCTACATAGAGTGACTTCAGAGTTTTTTACAGTTTGCGCATAGTTTGATAGAGTATTGAGAATTTGCGGAAACCAAAGCGCTAATGCTGATGCTCTAAAATCAAATGCTCGATTCTTTGGCTTAATCTTAAATCTTAATCTTAAATAGTTAAATATGGACTTACGATAAAAATACTCCGAACTGCAAATAACAAATTAATATAGTTTTAAGAGCATATTCCTTATTAAATAGCATTGCTGTTTGACTTCGCAATAACTGAAGTATTGTTGGTTTAGCTTCGCTTTTTTGTACCTCGATTTCATCCATAATTATAGTCGATACTGGATATTCGTGATACTTTTTGCCAGTATTTATTACGAACATCGTAGTGAGTATTTTTAAAGTTGCGTCATGTTTACCTTGAGTTAACAAAAATTTCGGGCTAAAACAATATTTAAATTATTTGCAATGCCTTTGCCAGTAAAACCATCCAAAGTGTATTAGCGCAAACCTTTCAGGCAAAAGAGATAACATTGCAGCTACTATCAAGCTAGGTAAACCGTAGGCTATAAGGAGAAGTCTCCATGGTTTAAACGAGATTCCCAATCCCTCAATGTAAAAACTCCAGTCGCTGGGCAGAATGGCCCAAGCCAGTCCTGTCGTAAATTTATATAAACATAAATTCGATTTTAGCACTATGGGCCCAACACTTGGCGTAAAAAAGTGGTAATTTACCTGGAATATAAATTTGTCCAACAGCTACAAACGAGCTTACCCATGTCGTAACCTTCGGACGGTGCCAGTTATCATGAAATTCACCAGCAAATGGATAAATTATTGAAGACGCTCCTCCAATCCTGTAAGATCTCTTCTTAAATGCGTTTATAGCTTGCTAAATATAGGATGTACGACAGGGTGTTTCATTGGAAAGCTCGAAAAATAACAGTTTCATAATATTTATCAAAATGTTTTTACATATTTTATTTAGTTTGATTATACAATATAAGAATTTCGTTCGGATATTGACCATAAGGAAATATTTTTCAAAAATCTTATATACTGACAAATTTGTAATCGAAATAACAACACTTGTAGTTGTTTATACTAGAAAAACTCATAAAACGACGAAGAAAATACTAAGAATACAAATGATTTCGCGCACAAATAAAAAAGCTGCAATTTTCTAAAACCTAGTTCTTGTTATCCCCCATACCTTAATAGCCATTGTGTATTGCACATGTCTTCAGAGGAGATTTTTTGCTTAAAATACTTTTTTAATTTATCACATATCAGCCGTATAACAAACGTTCAACAGGCTGTATATTCAAGTGTAAAACTCAACTTACAAAGCTCCATTGAAAAATCGCAATATGATAAACAGCCATGCCCATGGAGCGATACTCGAAAATAAAGTAAATAGGGAACTTGCTATCAAGCAAAACACCAGGATGTTTTTCCTTCCACGTATGTCTGCCATAAAACCCCAAAAGTGGGACGTAACTATTATGCCCAAGTAATTGACCGATACTAAGATGCCTTTTTGGGCTAGTGATAACTTAAGATCACATTGGGCAGCTGGAATTATGAAAGACATGTTCATGGATTCGATGATAACACACATGAGGCATCCCCCTGTTGCCAGTAACACAAAAATGTTATATTTTCCATAGCCTGAAATTGTAGATACATGTTAGTAGTGTACATAGTTATTCAATATTGCCGTTATTTCTTTAACATGTTACTTCGGGGTATTTAAGGTGAAAGTACATCAGTACGTACTCATAACAAACCGGTATAGTCACAAAATACCAGATCTCTTTCTCGTTAATATTGAGTAAACAAGTAAAATTAAGACGTAAATCGAAAAAAAACAGGAACATTTTACTTAGAGATTTTAATCAGTTGAGAGCAGTTTTATCACAAAACTGCTGGACAAATTGAAAATATAATCAATGTATTGAATCGTGTTATTTTGAAAAATAAAATTTCATTAGCATTAAGTTTGCACATATTTTGAAATGTATTAATCTCAGGCATTCCCAGAATTGGTTGGCTAACTTGGTCCTAGGGTGCCTGAGATTATACACATATCAAAATCGCTTTATAATGCGGAACGTTTAATGTTCACAGTGTACTAAATATCTAATGAACTATATATTTTTTAAACATTCCAGCTCATTTTTCATGCCTTCCAAGTAAGCCCTAGTAACCCCTTGAAAGAAATGACGCCAGTTTGGAATCTTTCGCTAGTTTGGAATCTATCTTTCTTAATATCTATGGCACATTGTTGGCTGTACGACTATAACGACGTTAACTACAGGAACTGTTTTTTAAATTCATGTTCACATTTTTATCAAAAATATTCTTAGAAACTTACCAGCTAAGGTCACTGCTTCGCTATACAGTTTTGTCTCTTTGATTATTTTTACGTTTCTTCTTTGCGCGTCTGTTGATCCCATTTCCAAAATCAAATCAAAAATAGATTCATTCAAATGTATAATGCAGTATTGCGAGGTTTACTGTGTATTAATGTGTATTCTTGCATCTAGAACTCATGTAGATCGTATTGATTTGAATATATTCAGAAAAGTTTTGAACCGCATCACATACAAACATGAAATGGCATGTTTGATTCTTATAAATGCAAAAGCCAGATAATAACAGAGGTGCCTTGAATCTTCGTTAAATAAAATAAACAGTTAATTTAAGTAACCAAGATAACATTGGCAGTAGGTAGATTCACATTCCTACTTACTACACTACTAATTATCTTTAAAACCTAAGTTAATTCGGTGTTGTAGTTTATAGTTATATTCGTTTACTTATACAGTTCTATTAATGGCGATAGATATTAATCACATTGCATCTATTAGCTTACGACACTTGATCAAACACTTGCGTATTTCATATGAAATCAGTTTTATCTCATTAACAAAGCAATTTTACCACAGTAGAAAGAGTTTACAGCTACTCTTTTGCAAGTATCTACCGTTGCTATATATAAAACTGGCGGGAGTGCAAAAAATTACGACTACCTAAACCTAAATAGATATGAGTTCTATGTTATGACCCACTCTAGAAAATTGTGATGCCTTTATAAGTTGCAGCTAGAAAGCTATATTTCAGTATACATCCTTTTTTTCTATAAAAAAATGGAAACCCCCAATATGTATTTTTTATTCACAAAATGTAATAATGAACAATAAAATTCGATTATAATTTTTATATTTATATGTTTGAGTGCATACATTAGCTAAACATTACAAATAGAGCATTGCGAAACGTAGGCAAATTTTTACTATGGCGAAAATATTCCGATTTTAAAAATCTTAGCGGTAATGAGATTGTTTGCACAGAGAGACACTCATAGCGTATTTGTGGTTAGTTTTCAAAGTGTGCTCTTCAAAGGATTTCTGAGGGCAAAACTTCTTAAGCACGATAAAGAGCGTTTTTAATTTAGTAAAACACGCTTGAAAATTTATTTCAGTTTTGAATTTGTCATCATCAATAAACAAGAATCGATGATAAAAAATTAAATAATTTTTGTAAATAATAAAAACTGATGTGAAAAGTGAAGTTTTGTAGTCGCAAGTGAAGCAGTTGTGATATAGATTGGGATTGGGCACTCTTGTAATTAAACTTTTTGAAATAAGAGTACGGAGTTGACATGCAGATTTACATCATAGCTGTCGGTATTTTACAGTTAAATCAGTAAAATGATCTTTGGTGATAAACCAAAATATATGTTCGTTTTGTTTAAGAAGAAAAAGTCATTTTCAGATGCAAATTACAAACCTTCATGCGGAATTGATGATTCAGTTTATCAACGATCTAAGCTTTTTCCTAGCACTTTTTAACTATTTTTCAGTTCTCCATCCCGTTCCTGTATGATAAATTAATACGTTTAAATTTGTGTTAAGAATTTTTGTAAGTTTTGTGTACATTTTGCAGTTGTGTTCTACAGGGTGTTGCACAACCATTGGTGGCAATGTATTATATTCCAAGAAGTAGGTAAACAACGAAAATAATATAAATATAAATTCCATCATACAACTTACTTATAATTAAGTCAATATAATAACAGTTTCTGTTCAGTTCCCGTTTTTATCTTGCTCATTAATTTATTTTAATTGGCTCATTAATTATGATTGCTATTCCTGTAATAGTACAATTGTTCATCTACTATTACGATAATAGATCATAAGCGACGGCACTCGCTTTTTTGTTCAAAATATCCGGAAATTGCTAAAAACAGAATTCACAAAGTAAACACTTTCATCGGATTTATTACTATCATAAACTTATATACAGGGTGAGTCAGCAACACCCACACTTAGATCGTACGGAAATAGCGACTGGAAAAAAATATTTATATAAAAGTACTCAGAGTGGCTCCAAAATAAAGTTATGGCAGTCAAGTTTTTTTTAAGGGATGAAAAGCCTACTTTTTAATCTAGTCGCTATTTCGGTCCGATCTAAGAGGGAGATGTTGCTTCGCTGACTCATCCTGTATAATGAAATTAACTGCAATATACCCAAGTAATTGTTTTGATTGGTTTGTTGTAGTATTTTACACCTTATTGTAGCTAAATGACACTACAGTTTATACGCACTCAATAGAATGCCATTGTTTCAAAATAGCATCAGCTAAGTAAATATTTAATTTGAATATATTGCATGATAATGTTATATGAAGTAAGCCACAACAGCAAAACTTAAACAAATGACATAGCAGGATAATAAGAACATTAGGTTTATCTCACATGTAGAAGAAACGATGTTATTTATAACATTTCCTACTCTATAAAGAGCAGCAAAAATTTCTTAATTAATTATAACTTTTTATAATACAGAAGTTTTAGTTAATTAGGGAGACTATTGGACGTTTTAAGAGCGAAGCTCCTTTTGTTACTAATTACTTTCTTTGTCTTAGATATTTGTATTATTTTGTGTCCGGTCATTATAATGATTAGCAAGGCACTCACGTGCGGACAAGTGTTCGACATTTAAAGGATAATTATTTGTCAAAAAATAATTTTTATTAATTATCTGTAAGTTTTTGGTTCGTATTTTTTAAATCATATTTAAATAGGTCTTATACACTCCGCCTCAGATTAATATACTATACGATATGATACAATGTGAATGTTTAATAAATTTTATTTGTCTATCTAGTATTCACTGAATAGTGTAATAGTAGGTAGCTATAAGTGCAAACTAATGGTCGTTATAAGATTTTTATACCTACAGCATCATGGTACCAAACATAATTATATTACCTATATTACATTTTATTCAGTTACCGACCGCCTGGTGAACACGCCTGTAGACGCCGCATTATGGCGCGCGTTGAAGCACTATGCGTTTCGTCCCGGGCCCACCTATTGGTCTCGTCAGTAAGGCTTAGGTAGGCCCTGCCTTAGACGCGGGATACGGTACATGGTTAGATTGGAAGTTATTTTTGAATCGAAAAGCCGCAGATGTTAGTGGGTGAGATATAGCTGGCGTTTCGGTTGAACCTGCTACTTAGCAACTACGAGAAATGGCGGATAGAGTTCGCCACAGCATAACACGAGCAGTCGCCATCTATCCCTGACTTAACAACAGTCAGCAGTGCCTGTCTGTCATTTGTCATTAGTAGATGGCGCGGAAAACTATGACGTTGTATTGATTGTGTTTTACAGTCGGCGAACGCCATTTTGACAGTTCTTTTAAGTTACAAATTTCTGAAATAATTGGAATCTATAAAAATCTACGTCCATCCGTGCGAATTTGCGTGTGAACGTGTGAATTTCTTGTTGTTTATTGTTAACCCATTTGGACGGACCAAGGTACGCCCCTATTTTTGCCTCCATTTACTTCCAAACTCCGTTTCGTAATCGAATGTTTTCCCTTGAATCCTGGCCGAACAAGATACCCAAACCGTTATGTCGGACGATTTTCTACTTCCACTTGTGAACTAGTGTTCGGATGTTCCTTTGCTTATCTAGTGTGTATTAGCAATGTTTTAACATAATCTGGATGATTACTCAGCAAAACTAGTGTTTAGTGTTTACAGCTTTGGATTTATTGTTTATTGTAGTTTTTCCTATGTACGTTATTTGCTTCGTTATTGTCGGTATAATTGCCTGGTGAAAGTTTATCGGTTTCTAAATAACTTGTATGTTTATTAGTCATATTGGTTTTAGATATACCCAATTAACGTTAAAGTATCCCAGGCCAATCAGTTCAAACAATAAAAGTAACCAGGTACTTTACAGTAATCACTTGCTATCTTTTTACTCAGTCAAGTAATATTCATTGACCTGTTTTTATATTCTTGCTTCTATTGCTTTATGAGCTCTCATCACCTCAAATCTCATTATTTTTACTTGTAAAACGAAGTTAAATATATATGAATGTATACAATCCATTTCGTTTTAGAAATAGGGTTCGTTCTTGGGTTCTGGCTAATCTAAATGGTTGTGTGCGGACAGCATGTCTACATTGTCAGGGAATGCCTCCAAAGGGGAGAAAAGCAAGCCAAAATTTCAGTCATTGGATATAAATAGCTTGTACAAGATCAGCAGGGTGAGTACCAGTAAATATTACTAATTATCAACTCATATTCATAAAATACACTGAAGAGATAAGTGCTAGCCAGTGAAAGTACGACAAAATGTAGCTGTTGATAATAAGTGGGTTTTCAGTTTTCTGACAATATTCCTATTACACATGGACCTATTTGATGCATACGAACTATATTGTTCTATATTTTAACAATACTAGCACTAAACTTTGCTTTATACGATTTATTAAGTCTCAAAATCAAGTTTTTAACTTGCTATGTGCAACGATTATAAATTTGCTTCGAACCAGAGTGGCCTATGTTTTGCCAATTTTTTTAGACTGACTTACGTAGTTGATGTAACGCACAAGAAGTCCGGAAACTAAACAGAGTCAAGACTACACATTCTATGGATCAAGTCCATTTGATTCCACCTTTTATCCAAAAATTATGCCTGTGAAGATTTTTTGCAGATGAACGTTTGACATGGTTAATTATTATTCAAATTACTGTTTGTCTAGAAGAACTTCTTAAAAATGTGTAACTCTGATACTTTTGATGTAAAAAATGAGCTCTTAATTGTAAACGTACGGGTCACATTTGCGAGGACCAACCGATATTTATCATTACACTTATTTTATCTTCAACTTTCCGGTATTTTCAATGCCTACATCGAAAAATTCAAAATATTCCATACTAAAAAGCTTGTGTCAAGTAGCTGTGATGTACCGAATGCGATCAAAATGTCTTTGAAACTTTTGCCTTGAACAACTTTTGAATGTTTATAGTTGGTTTTGGAAAACAAATAAATAGCACAGTAACCGGTAACTATGTACAGTGCGATTGTTTATACTAAGTTAGATCAAAGATCTATCACTTTAAAACCATAACAGATTATAGAGTGGAAAGCAATACTTAATTATCGACAACTTGTCAGGATGTCCGTCGAAATAATAGATCTGAAAGTAAGTTGGCAAAAATAATTCAGTAACTATTTCCACGCTAGAAAATATAAATACATTTATGTTTGCTGCTTATAATTTAACTAACTACAAACGTCTCAAGTTATTGTCTGCTACCTAATATAGACTTCTACTTAGCAGTTATACCCTCATAACTATTACTTACTTTGTAACTGAATTAGGAATTGCAGAAAATATACTTAATAGTATAAGTCATTAAATGTTGATTTTTATGAAATGTTCCTAATCCGGCGCTATTTAAAACCAGAGGGTGCCGGATTATTAGAATGTTCGGATTACTGGACAAGGTCGGGACACGTCTATCCGATCCGACTCCGATCAGAGAACCTTCCGTCGATGACCAAATAATCGGATCGGAAAGGGAAAGCCACACATGTCATACACGTTTCAGTTTCCGTTCCGATTTTTGGACGAATGTAAATCACAGATTATCAAACTATTCCTAAGACTAAGTCCAAATGTATTAATTGGCGTTACCGTTTTTCATATAGGCACTCGGATGGTTTACTTTGAATATCGAAAACTGAAAGCCGAACTAGATATAAGACCTTTGTTTTATGTTTTTATGCTCTTTTAGGAAACTATAGCTTGCCGAATTAAGCCAAACTAACATGATATTTAAAAATGCTTTAACGTGCCAAAAATACTAGTAGCAAACTAATTGTGCGATGATATAAAAGATAATAATCAGATTAATAGGAATTTGTTTTCCACTCGTATTTCCGGTCCATATGTTAGTTATTAACAATTTAGTTCAAAAAATTCAGTTCAATGCGATGCGATTTTTGTCTTTTTGTTTATAATGTTATATAATAATGGAGTAATCGGAATGCCCAACGAGATGATTTGTAGAGAATAAAAATGTCTACAAAATGAGGAGTTGAATTAAAACATTAAAACCTGAAGTAGTAAATAAATTTCCATGAARAGTTTACAATTACAATGTACACTTTAGTAGTTATTTTTCCAATATTCCTTGCCAGAGTCCTTACATACAGTTGCTGTGTAAACAGTAAKTTAAATTAATACTTGCGACGAATCATGTGCATTATTAATAATTGAGTTTGTTTTCTGTCAGTARAATTCWGTMAGCCCAATCAAAATATTTAAATATCTACAGCTTACTGTAAATATGGTCCAKTAAAAACCAAATGTATCACTGACGCAACCTAAAATACGGAACGTTTTTCCTTCCGACAATCGGATAGCTAATACSTATCGAATAGCCAGCAAAATCGGAACATGATCGGATAAAAAAACGGAGACGGATCGGATAGATGTGACCCGGCCTTTATAKAGAAAAAACCATAAAAAGAATACATATAATGTACGTATGTACATATTTGTGTTCTTGTTCAAGAGGTTTTATTGTAACTGAAACGTTTCAAAATTAACATGTAAATATGTACATGCATAGTTTTAAAATATGTAATCCGTAATAGAGGTCTGCGTTTGTGCAACTTGCAGCTCTTGCATAAAAACCTTTTCTCGCATGTTCAAATAATTATAATATCTTTGGCAAATACGCCGTTTTCTTCTGCGCATATTATGCAGGTATTAAAGCAATTAAAAGCTTTATTTGGTTTAACTTTTACAGTTTTGGGGTTGGTACCTCCAATAGTTTAACAAGGCTTTCTTCTTCTTGTAATCAACCAGTGATGCCTATAATAACCGACATTCTTAGGTATTATTGAGGACCATAAGTCAATAATGATATTCCATTTTGCAGCTATTTCAATTTGCATAGTTTATGTAGTTTTTTTTTTGGCACAGGATATAGTCTGCCGTCAAGATAGTTTAGTTTTTTTAAACAAGAGCTTTAAACACGAACAATACTTCAAGGTGTTTCGTAAGCACATGACGAATATGGTATTCCGACATGCTTTGGATCAGAAGACGATCTGATGTATATTTTATTGATGGTCAAAATTCTTCAAACAAGTTTTTTTTTATCAATTAGTTACCTAATGCAATTTACTCTAACATTTTGATGTATTCAACATTCGATTGAGCATAGCAGAATGACAACAAAATGATATAATATTATTCATTGGGTATAAAATACAAGTCTTATCGGTGTATCATTTATGTTTTTCAGGGGGAAAATACTGAAAAACCGGCACAAAAAAATTCATCAAATTACATTAAACATGGCATGCAAAGTTTGGGCAAGGTGCCTAATGCACGTAGAGCTCCGGCAAATTTACCTTCTTTGAAATCAGAACATAGTGATTCAGGCGCAGCAGTACCTTTAGTACCTCCAGGAGCAACAGGATGGGGCAAGCAACAAGGTTTGTAAATTACGCTAGTAGTAAATAATGTAATAATTATCATTAGTGTTCAATTCGTATCATTTGCTTCAAAGTTCAGTACTATGATTTTTTTTACTTCAGAACAAGGAAGTTCCCAACCTACCACCAATGCACCACAGAATGGAGTTCCACCAAATCAGAATGCTACCCCAGCTGTCCAAGGACCCCCCCCATTGACCCCTCACCAACAAGCAATTGCTATTCCTTCAACGAATGTCATTCCACCACACACCAAACAGGTTTGTAAATGAATGACATATTTGAGGTGCCCCATAAATCAAATTTAACAAACTATTGGAAAATCAATAAACACTTTCACACAGAATTACCTTCGAACGGTCTTAGTGATTTAAGAACATAATAGTCACATGGACCCCCGGTTGTGCTTGGTCAAGAATTGTTGAATGAATAGTGCCGTGTATTATTCATTGGCCATTGATTTATTTGATACTAAAGTTCAGGGTGGCTCTAGGGACGATACGATACTGAGAAAGTATCGATACTTACTCAAATGAGTAGTAACCAAATCATCTTGCGATACTACTCATATGCGTATTCTGAAAGTATCTATACTTACTCATATGAGTAGTGACCAAATCGTCTTTCAATACACCAGTATTCTGAAACTATCGAAACCATTACCTGCTCACAATTTTATTGACTGACTCGATATTGAGTGACTAAGTATAATCGTCATAAACACATTTTAAGTAAAACACACGTAGTAACAAACAAAGTAAACACATTTCGATTAGTTTTTCAAGACCGAAATTCACTATTACCATTAATTTTAACTGGAAAAAAGCCGTTTAAAGAAGGGATTGTAATAAAATTCATGGAATATATTTTAATGCATTAATTGCCATACGGTAAACAAAAAATATTATTTCTGAGGGTTTCCCAAAAACCAGTTGCTGCAAATATTTAGGGGACAAGCTTTTTCTATTGTGCGTCATAGCAGCACCAACTTTAGGAAATAGACATTCAGTTATAACAGTTAGGAAATACCGTTTGCATGTCTCTCAATGGGTCAATTTTTAAAGATATTATTCAGTTTCATATTGTTTAGACATCGTCAATAAGTTTTAAAACTGACTGTTCAGAACCATTAATACGTATCTTTTTGATTCTACGCACAATTTCACGAACCTTAGATATATAGCTTAGACTTGGTCATTTTAAAGCCTCTTCAATAATGTGATTTATTGTGTGAGCCAAACACGGCTAATATTTCATTGAGCGTACGAGAGTAGCTAGATAGAGCATATGCATTTTACTATTTTGAAGAAAATGACACGTCACACCTAAGAAACCTCGCTCGTTCATTGTTTCTTTCCAAATGTCAAATCTGAGACAAAAATTGTCAATCTTTAACAATTTAGCTTTAGCTATAGCTACACAGGCTTCATATTTTTCTCGGGTCATCTTCAGAAGACGTCAAAATCCTTCTCCTTCCACAATGTTGGAAGGCCGCAAATAATTGCAGACAAAAAACACTAAAGCCTGCACTATTTGGTTGTATTTTGAACTTCCCTCCAAAATAGAAATACCTATTATATTCAATAAAGAAAAAGTACCAGAAATAATTTATTTTCCTTTATTGGCAGAAACTTGAAAAATGCGTCTGCTAAAGTGCTTTGTGGAGGTATGATATTATCCGTACTAGCATCAAAAAACTTTTTCCTTCCAACATGTTTTTTAATTTAGAACAGCTATATGTGGATGGCTGTGACATATGGCATGACATATCCAACTCAAGTTCTTCAATAGACTTTGTGCAGTATTTACACTTCTCACAATTCGATTCAATATGAGTACTTTAGATACCAAGTATTTGTATCGAAAGAACGATTCAATTACCAAACTACTCGGTATCGAAATCAAAAGTATGAAATGCCTACTTGCATTTCCTTGTATCGAATCATCCCTACCTAAGAGGCGGCACTTCACGTAAGGGTGTCATAACGCATATTGATTTAATTGGTCTAGTCGTAAATATGGTATCATATAAAAGTCAGGCTGGGTCAGTAAAGGTGACATAACTCACGTTTAATGATGTTTATCAATTTTCACTCTTTTCAGTTCAGTTGATAATTTGATTATTTACGACGATACGATACGATACTTCTATTCGATATGAGTACTTTATTTCGATACCAAGTATTGATATCGAAAGAACGAGTCAATTACCAAAGTACTCGGTATCGAAACAAAAGTATCGAATACCTACTTGTATTTATTTGTATCGAATCATCCCTAGGTGGCTCTCTTTAATCGATACTTTTTTCCTGCAAAAATGAATAGGTACTTTTAATTCCATTTTTAAATTTCCATAAAAAGCACGCGAATAATTAAAATATATTCATCATTTAGATAGCCCAAATGTCCCAGCTTGATTTATTGTGTTGTAATAATGTTTCTTCAGATCTAGTGTATATTCCAAACATTTCTTTAAAAATGTGCAAGTTCATATTTCGAAATGCGACAACCTCAGGCACCCCCGGGACCGGTTTCGAGCCTATTAGCTCTCACCAGCTGGGTTCAGCCTGAAATTAGCGATTCCGAAACCTGCACTTTATAATGCTTTTGAAATAGGCAAGTGCAGATTTCGAAATGCGCCACAGGAAAGACTGTATTAAGACGGGACGTGCACTGCACTATTGGATTAATGGACAAACCGCCACTGAGTTTAAACTAATGTTAGAACCTGACCCACACAAACCCTTCACCAAAAGAGGGATTAGGAATCGGATCGGGATGAAAAACCTTGAATAAGATGGGCCATTCTGTATACTAATTTTGGTTCGGTCCGTTATCGGTAAAATGTGCATTCCTGATATTACAGCCGACAGTTTCTGTTCCAATTGCTGGAACATCGGGCGGCGACAAATTATGGAGCGCAGTAATGGCAGGTGGTCAGCCAGATGGCGGTCACCCGCCTGCTTACCAGAGTCCCCAGTTTCAGCACGAATTTCCCAGCCTATCAGCTGGAGATGGCGTTGCCGGCGTTGGTCCGCGTGCACCCTCGGATTATACTGCCGCAGGACCCGGAGGCGGAAATCAATCCGGCTTAAGGTGCGATTATTTTGTTGCCCCAAATGAATAGTTTTCCGTTAATATATTATTTATTTAGCCTGCGACCACAAACGGAAGGTTCTTGGACACAAGGTGGTCAACGGGCTCCGGATGGATCAGTGAAAAGTGGCTCGGCTGCCCTGGCAGCTCCACCGCAGCTTGCGGCCCAGGGCGGCCGTGCTCCCGAGATGTTGCCACCACAAATGCGCGGAGTTTTGCCACCATTTATGTACAAAGGTAGCTTTCCACAAGGAGCTCCCCAAGGCGGGGCGGTTAATCACTCTCAATCCCAAATGGGTTCTGCTCCCCATAATGGGCGAAGATCTAACGACGGTCGGCCTCCGCGCCTTCAAGAAGTTTCGTCAGATGAATTGGCACCAAGGCCTATTATTCGAGAGGAAGAGCTTAGTAAGCTTGATGAGTTTGGTCATGATATGGGTTGGGCAACTTCAGATGATATCGATTATAATCAGAAGCTAGCCTTTAGTGACGACGAAGATCGTCCTAGCAAAAACGAATTTAGACAGTATGCAGGGGCTCAACCACCGCAATCACAGCAGCAATTGCAACAATCGGTACCCATTCAAGGCAAATCACAGGATGTTAGAGCCGAACGGCAAAGTCCACCTAAACATTGGAACATGTCTAGATCAGAAAACTACAGGGGTCGTCAGACTGAAGACGATGAGGTTGTGGCTCAAAAACACAGACATAACAAGGAAGTCGATTTAGCTATTCAGCGTGCGAAGCAGAGGAAGGAGGAAGAGGAGAAGCGTTTTATTGAAGAAAACCGTCAAAGAGCACAGAAGAAGTTGCAGGAATTGAATGAAAAGGCACGGGAAAAGCGTGACCGCGATAGGGAATCGGAAGTGGGTACTATAAGCCCTTCAGCTGTACCTCCCAAGCCAATAAACCACGTAGATATCCCACTGCCAGAGTTTCAAAAGGAGAGGGAGAAGGATCAGAGACCACGCGTTTTAAACGAAGGTATTCCCAAGGAAGAAACTTCTGGGTTCCGTCAAATATCCCATTCTGATCCGAAAGGCTTTTCGAGGAAGCCGCAGCAGAAATCTGAGAGAGACCATCGTGAACAGAATGGTCCTAGTTTTTCACGCCACTTCCAAAATGACTTGCCTCCCAGGTTCTTGAAGCATCAGCAGCGCAATACGGGCACTTCTCAGAGTCAGCCGCAAGGCAGTTATTCTCAATATGAGTCTAATAGATGGCCTGCAAATGCCCGTGCGCCGAGCAGATCGGGCAGACCCGAAAGTCCTGATCGTCACGATGAAGAACATCGAGACTACAAAAGGCAGAGTTCAGATGAAAGCTACAGAAGTTCTCATCATTCTCAAGCCGACAACAACTCACAAAAATCAACGGATATTCGATACGGTGAAGAGCCATATTCTAAGAGAGACGACGACAAATGGCAAAAGGAAAAGACTGATAGTCATTTTGATAGGAAAGTTGAAGTACACGAGCGTGAAAGATACTACGAAGGCAGGAGATCTCAAGAAACGCTCTCCGATCGGTTTGACAGACCTCAGCGGCCAGATAGCCGTGACTCACACACGTCTCACACCTCCCATACTTCGCATGGCTCGCAAGGTAGCAACAGACGATCTAGAGATTCTGAGCTTAAAGAATCTATGGGTTCTTGGACTGAAGACGTAGAAGCAGCTTATGAAGAAAAGAAGGAAAAAGAAGAAAAGGAAATTGCGAAAGAAGAAAAACGTTCCGTTCCTACTTTTGTTCCAGGACCTATAACTCGAGATCGTATAGAAGCTGATGATGTGAATGAAAAACGAAATTTAACTCAGCTTAAGAAAGGTGAAATGCCACCTCCAAAAAAAGTGGAAGTTTCCAAGAAAGATGACAGTACACCTTCCACGGGAAAGCAGGCTTGGGGTGAAATTATTTCTATGGAGGAAGCCGAACTGAAAAAAGAACAGAATGTTAAAGTGGCGGAATTGAAAAAACCACAGTCTCATGATGATTATAAAGATAGGCAGAGTAGAAGCAATAGAAGTTTTTCACAAACTAAAAGTTGGGGAAGTAGCAGTTCATCTTCCGATTTTCACACTAGGGGATCATCATGGGGAACTAAACAGCGCCCTCCCTCTAGAGGACTTAAAACTGGAGGACGAGACTTCTACAGTCATGATATGGATAGTGATGGTTCCACTGACACTTACTCGGTTGACTCAAAAGAGTCCAAGTCGATGGCAAAAAAATCGTTTGATAAGGATGATAAAAACTCTGAAAATAAGCAAGAGAAATTGGCAAGTGATCAGAGAAGAGCTCAAAATCAAGAAAAAGGCGACCATAGAGATGGCAGTTTTTATGTGCCTAGAGGAGAACCGTCGAGGCATGGAAGAGGAGCCGGCAACAATTTCAGAGGAAACAGGATGGGTGGATCCAGTAAAAGAGTGAACGGATATGGTCCTCCTCCTTCTAAGAGTCCCTTCAGCCATCACGATGAAAAAGAAAAGAAAGCAACAACCGAAGAAAACATTAATGATTCTGCGAATACATCTACTCAACCGCCTCCTGTAGATAAGATCAAGCAAAACCAAGAAGCTCTTGCGGCTGGAATTATGGGCAAACCCCGTCAAGAATCTTTAGAAGAAAGAAATAAACCCAAATTCAAAACCGACAATAGAAGAAATAAATCAAAGACTAGGAGAGATGAACAGGACAAAGAAATGTCTGGAGAGTTTTTGGACAATAGTAAACGCCAACCGGTCAGTCGATCATCTTCACAAAGAGGTGGACAGGCAGGAGATCGGAGAATTGGTAATGATAGACGCGAACGTACTAACCCTCCCAGATCAGGAACCGACAAAAGAGGAGGCAGTTTTGACTTAACAGCTGCCAAACGGCCTGAAGGAAAGTCAGAGCCTCAGAATCTTTTGGCAAGTGCAATAGCCGATATATCATTGAAAAATCGAGAAGAAGATGCTAAAGATCAAAAGGATATTAACACTGAGTTGAATGGCGATTCAGACGGTTTTCAAGAAGTAAAAAGCAAGAAAACTACTAAAGAGCGCCCAAAAGGGGGCGAGGAGAAGAAAGGGCCTGGCCCAAGAGTCGAAAACAAAGATTCCAGGCAAGATAAAAAGCAAGGTAATTAATTTAATTATTTTGTAACCTTTTGCCGGAAAGTTAACAATAATTCAATTATTTTTCTTATTTTATTTTTTGTCCAGCCATAAAACTATTAGCTATTTCTCCGACAATATTTATTAACTTTTACATGAAAAAGTAAAGTAATTAATTTTGGTGAGCTAAGAAATTACTAGCACTGATTTAAACAAATACTTAACTGTCGAATAGGTTCTAGAACCTATCTGTTTTGCAGTTTTTTCTTAATGGCTTGAACGCTTGAGTGGTAATTAGGGGTTTCATCTTTGTAGGTGAGTCGGAGATAACATATTCTATTCGTGAGTGATTCGAGATTAAAATCGAACAAAACTGTCGGTTGCAAACTGCAAATTTTTGTAAAAAACAGAAAAAATGAGAACTTTTGACATCTTTGGATTTAAACTCTTACACTAATTGAGTTTGACGGCTTTATGAATTCGTTTTTCTTATTTAGCACACATTGGAAAACCGCTTAGTGTTCAACATATGACACCGCAACAAATTCAAAATATTCCTCCATTGATGTCCACTCCAGTGAATCCAGTGAATATTAATATGTTGCCCCCAACCAAGAATCAATACGATCAGAGGACAAACAATAGACAGAATAAATTAGCTCCCAGGTTAGTTTCCTATTATCATTCTCATATACGTTTTGCCTTGCATCTTAATAATAGCTGCATGGTGTAGTATCATATGCAATATTTGTAAGAAAATGGGAATTCGGCATTCTGTAGGAATTTATAAACTATTGAAATATGAGTAAGTGTAGCATAAAGCGAGAATTTTGTACACGCCTCTGGTAAATACTTCCTCCCTTAGAACAGACAAATGAAAAGACACGTCCCTGCGATAATGTTTGATGTTGTACGATTAAGTTCAACTAATTGTATCTGAATTACTTCATATTTACGCATTACTTATAGGTTTGCAAAGCAAAAAATGCAGCAGCAGATGCAACAACAAATGATGAGCGATATTGGAGATATTAATAAGGTAAAGGAATTTAAATTATTTTGTCTGTCTTATTGTTTTATTTATATTTTTCAATTTTTTGTTATTAGATGCCGCAAGCGTCACATTACGGAATGAGAGATAAGCCTCAGTCTGTTCCACCGGTGCCCTGTTCTGCTTGGGATAAGCCGCTGGGCTCGCAATTGCGGCCTGCCGATTTGGAAGCCGCTACGAACATGTTAGGTGTTGCCATGGATGGAGTTAACTTGGAAGGAGCTTCTAGCCCAGTCAGCGAGAAAGTAAGTGTTTTTCATTTTGACCACCCTGAATACCATTATTTTGTCAATGTGAAAACCCTGAATTGATGTTTGAGAATCTATCTTTAGACATTCAGGGTACTTATAAATAAGGACTCTATTGTAAAAAATTGATAGACTACACCTTTCTGGAATAGTGTCAAATCAATCAAACATAATCTCACTAAACATTCATAATCTCTAAAAACTCAGTGCACTCAGTGCTAATATGTCAGTGTACTACATTGACTAAACTTGTTTTTATGACGACTATCTAAAGACGAAGAAACAGTGAAATGTGAAAAAAAACACGTGCAACATAGCGGAGTAGTTGCTATTAAGGAGCAAATTGTACATACTTTCCTGACTGTGTTTTAATTCCAAATCAAAATCAATTCCTGGGCTTCAGTCATTTGTTGTCTATTTATCAATTAAAATACGTTTCGGTGTTTTCCACCATCATCAGTTTCTCTAAAATGACAGATAGTAAAAAAAAATCATTAATTTAAAAAACAACCGCAGTTCGTCAAAGGTTCATCATATCACACACTAAAATACATCACAATGGCAACACTTTAAAACATTCTAAGATTAATTAGCAATGAAGCTGTTGACGAACTGTGATTGTTTTTTAAATTAATGAAATTTTTTTTTTACTATCTGTTTTTTAGAGAAACTGATGATGGTGAAAAACGTCGAAACGTATTTTAATTGATAAATAGACAATAAATGACTGAAGCCCAGGAATTGATTTTGATTTGGAATTAAGGAGCGAATACAGCAAAATTACAATAAGATAATCAATTTACAAATGACAGTTTACTCTAAGAAAAACAGGTTCTTAACATTCACACACTGTATATTTCGTGAAAATTGTTCATGGCTCTTGTAGCTCCCTAGTCGAGTGTCACATTACTTAAAATAAATTATTGCGTTTTCAGATTATGGGAAAGCCCTCGCAGATTTCCGACAAAAACCTGCTGGACGGCACCACCCCACCAGTTAATACAATTATTTTTGAAAACACGAACTTTAAATCGGCTCCAGGGGTGCGAAACGCGTCGCGTAGTGTATCGGGTAGCGCAAACGATAAACAGCGGCCTAAAATGGACGATAACATGGACAATAACGTATTCGCCAAACCCATCAACGATTTGTTACAAAAAAATGCGGATAATGCTACTAAACAAGACTCAATACAGATTGCAGTTTTTAAAGAGGAAAGTGATATAAAACTTGATTTTTTCGGAGCAGATTTGACACATTTAACGGAAGACAAATCAACAAAGAACTTGTGTATGTCCAAGAACATCACCGCTGTAAATAAGTAAGTATTTCAGGAGAATGAAGTGCTTGCTACGTATACCGATTTTTAAGTTTTTAGTTGATACAATTTATTAGTTGAAGAGCACCCGGATAAAATTATCATAATTCATATACAGACATAAGATCTTATTACAAGACATTTTTCTGAATCTTTCCATTCTTGTTGCCAACCTAGCAGCGTTAAATTGACGAGTATAATATAGCATTTCGTTGGTAAGAGTAAATAGAAAAGATACGTTTTTTTGTTCGGTTTCTATCTGAATTCCTATTTAACTATCTAATAATTTTTAGTAGTTAGAAGCCAGCATTTAAACCTCCGGACAAAGCAGCACTTTGTTTCATTTACTTTTTCAAAGTACTCGTTTGTTGCGAATACATTGTTAATTCTGTTTGCAGCACCATTTGCAACGCTGATTCCCTGAATATGAAAATAGCATCGGTGAAAAAAGTGTGGGATACTACCGAGCAAGAGACTGAAGATACAAGTGGTATGAGTTTTGGAGCACCACTGGATGCAGCTTTTAAAGGTAGCGATGCGCAAGATGACGGTCATCATGAGGGATTCAGTCCTGGCAACAGCCAAGCCGCATCTACTACAAATGTATGCAAGGTAATTTTTAGTATACATCGTTGTGATTTAGCGATTGAAAATGTTCACAGACAATGTAAAAACAAGCTTTAATTTCTTAAATCATTTGATATGACACTAAGCTGTACTCCGCAACTAACTACTATCGTCCCAACTTATCGGTTGTTTTGTAATTGGCTCGAATGATTATGGTAATTGGGGGATTTCTGGCTTAAATCGTAAATAGATTTGGTTCGGTGGAGCAAAAGCTCAAACACCTTGTTTAGATGTGGTAAACTAAGATATACCTAGAATTATTTTCACTGAGCATGCGTTAGAGTTGTAAGTCAGCAATGTTTCATATATCCGAAATATAAAAAAAACAAACTTTCACTTTTGATGGAATAGTTGGTGGTTGGTTTAATATGCGACGTTTATTATTTATTAAACAACGTCCAGTATTTGTTTCAAAAGAATAATTACTTCTCATCATTTCAGTAAATAATAAATATTTAAAACTTGTTTTAGAACGCAAACTTTAGTGCTGGTTTTATACATCAAGATTATGAAATAGTAGCGAATTATGAATGAGTAGCTTTAAGTGTAAGTTACTATAACTTGGTTATTTTCAGGTTAAACCTACTCAGCAAGTGGCAAGTGCTCCTGGACAAATCGTATCTTCAGCATCTCAGCAACATTCGGCAATGGTGGGCCACGCCATGTTAATGGGAACTCCTTTATCGCCTCCACCAATGGCAGCAACTGCAGTAGGCGTTTCCCTTGGGCCTCAGCCATTTGCTACCAATCAGCACTTGACTGGATTTCCTACAGCTTCTCCTGCTCAGGGAGTGGCCTCGGCTGGCTCAGCTCAATATGGAATTTCTACAATTCCTTCACCGCCGACTGTTTTGTATAATTCGACTCAACAACTTCAATCGGCCATGTACACAGCATTTATGCCAACGGCAGATCAGGCAAGCGTATTAGGTAGCCAAGGCCATGCTAGAACGGGTGGCTTTGGACAATATCCTGCAGCCGGCGCCTACCATAACTTGGGGCAACCGACAAATTCTCCTTACAATACCCAGTCGGTACGTAATTGGAAGAACTTGGACTTGGTAATGAACTCTCTAAATGTTGGTATTTGGTATTTACAATTCAATATGTTGCCACTGTCCACTCCATAGCTATGAGTAATTATGGTTCATTATTTTCAGGTCTATGTACCAACTGCTCCACATCCACCCCCAACAGCACAAGCTCCCCCTGAATTGTACTCTTCTCTAAACAGTTTTCGACTATCAGCCGCTCCTCCATTTGGCCAAAATCAGGGGTTGAATAATCCTACGACAGTGCTGATTAGTTCAACTAGCAATAGCTTGATGTCTCCAAGTGTCAAACCCAGTCAGCCCATTAGTGCAATTGGTAAGTTTGGTTCGTTCAAGTTGAATACCACTTATCTGTGCTATAATTTAGGTACAAAGGCAGGTGGTGTTGGACAGGCATATCAGCAACAATCGCAACAAGGACAACAGGTTTACATGACTTATGAACCCTCGCTCCAGGCCGCAAATTATTTGCAAGGAGCTGGAGTGATGCAGCGAGGTCCAACTGGGCCACCAGTCCAAAACAGTGTAGTGCCTGGTTTACAACCCTCTTCGTCATACTATTCTGGATCTACAGGTAATACTTTACTACCATACAACACAGGGGTGGCCAATAAGTCGATTGCGATTGAACAAATTTTATTCTGCTAATAGAAAATCTGCAGCAACAGAATCTGAATTATTTTTCAAAAATGGCGGATAACCCATGAAAGCACAAAAATAACAATAAGATCGACAAATCAGAGTTTGAAGTAAGCAAACAGAGTTGTGAAAAAAAGTAAGAATCGTAAAATATGTATTTATTTCTTTTAAAAACGATTTTAGTGTAAAACGCTTTAGCCAAAAACTTTCAGGCGTACGCACTTCATATGGATCAAATGGCATTAGAAAATCAGAAAATTTATTCCCTTCATGAACTTATATTTTGAAAATTTAATAAGTAATTAAAAACAAATTGTTTTAAAACAATTTTTACTTATTTACCCATACTTTGCTGGAATGCACCTTATACTGAAACACACTGTATAAACATGTATGCTTTTCACCCCCTTTTTTCCTCCTTAGAGTAGGCCTATGACAAGTCGATCGTGATACATTTAATATAAAAATGTAGATTTTATATAGGAATGAAAATGAAATAAACAGTTGGCCACCCCCGGTATACCACGTTTATTAGCAAAGTTTTTCTCAAAATCAAGTTTAAATTTAGGTTTTTTTCAAGGTGGCCAGACTGGATATTATCAACAACCTGGAAATTCATCACTTCCCTCTGCACCACAGTTATCGCAACACCAGGCTGGTTATGGTTTGCAAGGAAATGTTTTTGGAACGCACAATCAGACTCATGCAAATACAGGCCTGCAGGTATGATACGCAATATTTAAATTTCCCTTTTTATTCACTGCGCCAAATAGAAGGACCGTTATGAGAATAAAGCAAAACGTAAATGAATACCACGTAGCATAAATGGGAACAAATTTGAGCCCTTAAAGGTATAATATGATTATTTAAAAAAGTTTTCGAATTTTAATTCCAGCGGGAAGTATCGTCTTAGTTTTCTTAAATCCGGCCCTTTTTGGGAATTACCAAATGTAAAAATTAATTCTGAATGCAAAGGTGCTTAACAGATTAATATTTAGAAATGTTTTGATCAGTTTTTTTGTATATGTACAGGCCGCTTAACTTTGCAATAGGTTAGATAACAATGTTTTTTTTATAAAAAAATACGTTTTATTTTTCATATTTTCTTCTCACAGACTTTGTGTTACGATCGTGATAAATATAAATTTTAATAGTATCATTTGTTTTCAGTTTCTTAGTAACCGTTGCTAACACTTCAAGAGTGATCTTGCGTTTTTCTAATCTTCATGTGAGTTCTTTCTAACGCGAGATCAGGCAGGATACTGGTTGTGATCTACTAATGGATTTTTTGGGAAAATAACATTTAAATAATTTCCAAATAAGTCAACTCGATTACTCCTTAGAAGAAAATATGAAAACTAGAAGACTATTTTTTAAATTAAACATTTGAATTGAAGAAAATTGGAATTTTAACTTACAGTCTCTGAGGCTCTTAGTTAAATATAAATAATTAATTTTTCTGATTTAAATTAATTAAAATCTGCAATATGCATTTTATTTATTTAGGGCTCGTATCCATTTCATCATTCAACACCAATGCAAGTTGCTGCAGCGCTAAATGTTCAACAATTCCGGTCGGCAGCTGCCGCAAGTATGCAAAACCCCTATATGAAGAACGTTGGTGGAGGCGGACAATCAATTTCAGGTAAAAACAATTTATAAATCATTGATATAACGAAGAGTACTTGAGAGAAATTATTTTAGTTACGATATTGAACCAGTACATATGCAAATTTTTCATAATGAAAACTGACATTTTTGCCCTTTGCAGGGGACCCACAGGTCCAGCAAACATCTGGAGGTCAAAGGCCTCAGCCAATGAAGAGTCCTAGTAGTCAAGAAGTGTTGTCCTCTGTGTTTGGTTCTGGTAAGTCTATGTGAACCTAAATAAAACTTTCTTACTAATTTTTTAAACTTGTATTAATCTCAATCCGTACTATTGGTCATACTATTTACTGTATATCAAAAGAGATAGACTTTCGAGGCCATTCCTTAAAACTAATTGGTTTTTCGGGTTTTTAGGCTACTGAACGACGGTCTAAAAACCCGAAAAACCCATTAGTTTCTATTTACTGTATGTTTTGTAAATTATTTAATGCAGCAGCGAAGCACTGAAGGTTCAAGAATGATTAGCAATAAAAATTACTGTTATTTTTCGTAGAATGATGAGGCTTTTGTCGACTCCATACTAGTTTTGTTTATTTCAGCTCCCCAAATCCCATCCCCCAAATTAAGGCAGAATAATAAACACCTGCCACAACAGTCCAGTCCAACCACACAAAGAAAATATAATTTCTATCAAGGTGTTGGGAGTCAACAAAATAACGTAAGTAACTTTTTTAAGCTTGATTAGTATATTCATTTTATTAGTATGAGTGAATTATTTGAAGGTGTTGATTTTATGAAAATAAAAAACACGTACTCTAATACTGCATATTTTTCACAAGTTTCCGGTTGCTTCTTTATTGGATCTTTTGTTATGAATGGTTAGCACAACAAATTTATTTATTGAAACAACAAATTTACAAAAACGCAGCAACAAATTTAACACATTGAAACATGGTATCAGGCGTAAAGATATTCTGTATATATACAGATATGTATATACTGATATTCACAGATATGTGTAAAATAATAGTTTTATTGTTCCTATTTAATTTTTTTCCCAGAATATTGTCATTAGATTGGGTTTACAAAATATGTAGCCAGTTGAAAGCCAGCCAATATTATTTGTTGTATACCTAAATAAGGTTACTTATTTTTTAAATCTGAATTACAATTTTAATCCATCAATTGGCCATCACTTCATATAATGAATTGATTTAACTTGGATTTTTTTAGTACCTTCAATCTCACAAATTTAAAATTCATTTTCAATTATTTTGGATTATAAAATTTTATATTGTTTTTGGAATTCACTAGCTTCAGCAGCGCTATCCAACCCCCATTCAAAGACCAGTGAACGTTCAGCAACAAAACATGAATTCTGTGCACAATAATGGGTCTAACAATCAAAAGCACAACCGGAACAATTCCAATAAGGCTCCCAATAGGCAATATTATGGAGGACAGAGTGAGTACGGAATTTTATTTACTTTTTTTAATAAATAGGAAAAAAATGCATTTTTGATAGTAAAGCTTAATTTGAGATGATTTATTAATCGAGGTTTATTTATTTAAGGTGGTACTTTAGCAACCAACCAAACCGACAAACCTGAGGACAAGGTTCAAGATAATTCAAGCACGAAAACTACTACTGGGACAAACATCTCTAAAGATGTAATTAAAGAAGACACATCAGTTTTGAAGGAATAAGGACTTGAGATGATTACTTACTTTAAGCACTAAACAAGTTTTTGTTGTCTGTGAGTTCAACCTACACGATTTAAAAATTAAATGCGTTCGCCGATACGTGTTTAAAAAGTGTATTTCGACAAGTTAAGTGTAATTAATATAATTTATTTCGTGTATAAAACTTGTTTATCGATAGGACTGCAGTACACCTGTCATAAACTCTACTAACTTAGCTTCGTGTATGTGAAATAAATAACGGTGTATAGTCGATAATCTATAGCGATAATATTGCAGTATCCCGGAATAGGGATCAAAAAAATAGTACATTGTGAAACCTACTGGTGTTCGCTAAGAATGCGACCTGTACATTTAATGGCGCATTCATTGCAAGGTAATTAGAGCTTTTAAGGTGCTTTGCCTCAATTTTTCTATCCTCACGTTTCTCTCGTAGATAGAAAAAGTAACTTAGCATAATTTATTATTCAAGAGGACCCGACTGCGATGTGTTCGTAACCAGGACAAGATATTTCCAGGATAGGCGCTACGTTCAAACACTTAAATTTGGTCTAAGAATGAGCAATGATGTTGCCAATTCTGACCATAGGGACAATAGGCAAACTTGTATTTGATGTTCTAAAAACCAGCAACTAAAGGTCTTAAATAATGCAATATTTTGGATTTCACTTAGCGGTGATGAAATCGGTATTTATCACAGAAAAGTTGTCTTCATACTTAAGGGTTGATAATTCATGGAACAATTAATGATTGGTATACAACCGCTGGAAAGCTTGAAAATTAGTTTCAGTATTATTATAATAAGATCTGAATTGTATTCGTTTTATATAATTATGTCCATGTGCCACATAAAGTGTTCTACTGGGTATAGTAAATATGTTGTCCACCTGTTACGTTAGAAGATAATTTTTCGTGTTTGGGGAAAGCCAGGCAAAAAATATAGACTGTTTTTTTTGTAACAGCATCAAGTTTACTCGTATAAAATATTTATAAGATATTATTTAAACATTTTAGCAAAATAAATGGTTTAAATACGTACTTATTATTCATTCTTTTTAAGATACACGATTTCAAAGAACAATGTCTGATGTCAATAAATATGATAACTTCTTAAAGGTGTGACGTTAGTAGAGCAATTGTATGTCAATCAAGGAAGCTTTGCTTTACCGCTCTTAACTATTATAAGAGCATTATTTCTTCAATTTTATTTAGAATTAGGTGTTCACCTAGCTTTAACAAAACTGCGGTCGACTTAAAGTATAAAAACATTTGTTGGGAAGGTGCTTACTGACAATGGCGTTTTTAATTTACCTGAAATTATTTTTAGCAGCCAATCGCTGTTCTCCGATACTAGAAGATCAATTAGAAAGTTTAATATATCAATTAATAACTAAAAATAATTGAAAATTATCAAATGATCGATAAACAAGTCAAATTAATTAAGGAATAAGAATAAAAAGACGAAACTAAGTTGTTTTGACAATAATTCATTACTGGAAATTTCCGTTTTGCGGAAATTTTATGGAAGAGTACCACTTGTTCTAGAACTCGCTTTTTTACCCATGTTTGTAATTGGTGTGACGTAACCTCTCAACAGAAATATGAATAGTTATCGCGTTTTATTTCATAAACATTTTTGTTCGTGAAAAAAACTGTCCAGAAGCTATAAAAAATACTCAAGTTAGTTTAAAATGTTTATTGAAAAAGTAGTGTGGGTATTAGTACTAGCTTAACACATTCGGTAATTAAAGCAAATGCGAATAGTGGCAAAGGGAATTTAGAAAGCGATTTAAACATTGAATCGTAAATGCAACGTGGATTACACTATAAGGGTTGCATTTGCTAAAGAAAACTATGAGTATTTAGTCAAGTAAATGTTCGAAGAGTTCTTTAGCAAATGTGGGTACATTTACAAAAAATACAAAATGCAAACGTAAGAAAATAAATGTGCCATATTAATCACTGAACGGTGAACATAAATTTCGCATATAGAAATCGGAAGTAAAATTATAATTGCATTCCGATATCTATCTAATTTAAAACTGAAATGGTCAAAATTAGAAATACTTTTCACCACACAAGTTTTAAATGCTTTCCAAATGATAACACTAAAAAAACTATCTGAAAAATCAATTAATCATACAGTTCTCCACTCTGCAAAGCTTGCTGGTAGTTTCTTCCAGATTTCTCCTGAGCATCTAGTTTGATCATATCATCTATCCTCAAAATAGTGATTGCAGCTTCAGTAGCAAACTTTAGAGACTTGATTTTTGAAATCGTAGGCTCCAGCACACCCGCCTTTCTATTATCTTTCACTGAGCCCTCAATGAGATCCAATCCAACATACTTCATGCTTGAATGCTCGACCTAATGTGAAACAAATACATTTACACAACAAACTTAAATTTTACTGCTCAGTTCTTGATGGCAATATTGCCAAGGAATTGTTCCAAACGGTCAACCAGGGTCGTATGTCTAAGTACTTACCTTCGTCTGGCTTGAATTATGATAAGCCCTAAGTTTAGCTACCAAGTCAGTGGCATCTTTAGCAGCATTTACTGCTAAAGTCTTCGGAATAACCAAAAGACTGTGAGCGAATTCAGCAATAGCTAGCTGTTCTCTACTGCTGACGGAAGTGGCAAAGTTCTCCAAATAGATTGATAGAGCAGCTTCAACTGCACCACCTGGATAAAATCACAATGTAAAATTTTTTAGTATAGAATAATAAACAGGACTGCCTGTGATGCGAAAAACGTACCCCCAACCACAACGCTTTTTGACTCCAACACCCGCTTAACAACGGACAGAGCATCATGAACAGATCTTTCCATTTCATCGCAATAGAAATCATTGGGTCCACGCAGAATAATGGATGCCGCAGTTCGTTGCTTTGGGCTAAAATATACATTATTAAATTACTGATGCTGGTATCGGTCTAATATAATACTTACTTTTTAATTATGATCAATTCATCGTCAGATATCCTTTCCTGTACGACTTCAGCGGCTTCTCCAATCATGCTGGCGTCAAAAGATTCCTCACCTAATTCAATGAGTTAGAAATATTTGTTAACTAGGTATATATAGCGATCAACGCGAGGATTGGAGAACACATTTCCCCTTTATTACCTTCCATGTTTGACAACGATGTAAGGAAAGTTGCTCCAGTAGCTTTTGCAATTCGCTTCAAATCGACTTTTTTAACTCTCCTAACGCCGATAGCGCCGGCTTCAACAAAGTACTTCAGACACAAGTCGTCAATACCTAAAATATTCCGTTGAGTTTGATGCTAATATGACCGAAGGATACCGACCTCCTGAGCACAAGATAACATTGACACCTGTAGACAGAATTTTGTGAATTCGTTCTTTAGTAATGTCTAATTCACGCGCTCGAACGCCCTCAAGTTTCGTCGGGTCGTTAATAAGTACCTAAGCCATAAAAATGGGTTAGATTTAGTATAATGAGTTTTTCTGGGTTTTTATTTTTACCTGAACTCCCATCTTCATTTTAGCTTTCTGTAAAGAGAAGTCCAGGCAAGCAATTTTTGCTCCAACCACTTGCTTTGGCATGGCCTGACTAGCTACAGTGCAATTGAGAGCATAGCCTTGTACTAAGATACTCTCCCTATAAAGTTGATAAATAGTAAAATAATAATAAAAAAGTAAAAGTAGTAAAATAGTAAAAAATGGGAAAATGGAATTTAAAAAATTACCTAGCGCTACGTCCATGAGCTTTCAGAATATTCACTGCTTTGATTGGGTATAAAGCGTTTCCGCGCACATCAGTAATTTTTACAGCATAAGCTGCTTCTACTACCATGTTGGAGAATAGATCAGCATCACTGTGGAACAAGTTAAGGAGACAATATCGGGACAAGTTTGAATTTAATGTCACTAACAAAAAAAGTTTTAAAAGGATACGCTCCAATAATCTTGGAACTCATCGAGGTTTTAGCAACATTGATGAGCGATTCTTTGCCAAGCTCTTCAACTGGGATCGTGAGATTATCTTGGATGTATCTGCAGGCCTCTTTGCATGCCAACCTATAGCCGCTAATAATGGAKGTGGGATGAATTTTCTGCTTCACCAGCTCATCGGCATTCTATTCAAGAATAAAGAAAACTCATTTTCATGTAAATAAATATAAGCTCAATATATGTATGTGATTAGTAATTAAATGAAAATACGCATGGAGATGGGCCCGCCTATAGTGAATTTGGTTGTAGTAAATTTTTGCTTAAAAAACTAGATCAAGGAGCCTTTAACGATTACGTCAAATCTCGAAAAATACTACAGTTGAACCTTTGTAATCGAACTAATTATTAGGGCAAATTCGGATTTTCGAATTGTTACTGTAATTAAAATTTCTTACGTAAAAAATATGCATAAATTAAAATAATGTTTACATAAAATGGCTTAATTTTTATCCAATCTGTTTTTGTTTGCAGATTCAGTACATTCGGACGATASTGTATTTTAAATATTTTTCGACAAAACTTCTGTTCCGTATACAAAATTTTATTTTTATTATACACGTTCTCAATGTAAGCCTTTAATCAGGATAAACGTATGAACAAATGTTATGAAAACATGTGATGTTCAACACACGAAAATAAATAAAATATTAAATGTACCTTCAACAATTCGGCAGCAATAATTACAACAGATGTTGTACCATCACCTACTTCCTCATCTTGAAGTTGAGCCAGCTCAACCAAAACTCTGGCAGCAGGATGCTCCACTTCCAATAGTTTCAGAATTGTAGCGCCATCATTGGTGACTGTTACATCACCAATATCGTCAACGAGCATCTTATCTAAACCAACTGGGCCTAGTGAACTCTTCACTATGTTGGCTATTGCAGATGCAGCCATTACTGAAATTAAGTGATCGAAACAAGTTGGAAAATTTTATTTAAATCGAAATGTTGTATGATTTAATGGATCACAGGGAATCTGAAGATAGTTCTAGACTTCATAGAATTCTTAATTACATTTTTATTTATACTTGTTTTGTATACTACAAATTAGTGTGTGGTCTTTATTTTATTTATTACAGTCGAATAACCGCGTAATATATGAAAAAATCAGACTAGAAACAATTAATGAGTTTCATAGAAACTGGCAAGCGTCATCAAGCACTGCATGTTTTCAGCCGAAATTACTGAATATAAACGGAATAATGCTGTTATCTAAGGTAGTATTACTTTTCCAGCTTTACAGAGGTGTATACCTATGTTTACATAACGAGATGAGTGGGAAATCGCAAAACAGCTCGCAATAATAAAACAGTTTCTGTGCAACTACTTTCTTAGCGCCTGTAGGACGAATCTTTAAGCTTCGTATAATCAGATACTAGATATAGGATGTGTAGAAAAAGGAGAAAAACTAGTTTTTCTTTTAAAACTACCCATATAACAAAAACGAAAATGTATACGTCAGTGAAGCTAAGTTTATGTAAAAAAAGGAAAATGTTCCATTTAGATCATTATTGAATTAAAACATATAAGTAATTTAAATCACTTGATATAATTTAACCCTACACTGATTACCGGACCGATCTTTCAAGAAACTACATGTTAATTTTCATGTAAAAAGCCTTATTAGGAAATACCTACTACGCTCGAAACGTCCTGCTTAAAAATGTAATAGGTACTCGGAAATTCACACAGCCCATTCATGAAAATATTGGTTATCAAGTGCATACAACTTTTAAAATTAACAAATATTCCATTACAAATTAGAACATGATGACAAATTTGTGTAGTGTGATCAATTCTGTGACGTGTAGGCTAAATACAACTATTTAATTTGGATCAACTGATTGAAGTACATAAAAGTAGTGTTTTTTAGTTGTCATAAATGTATCTATACTTATAAATTCCGACTTTATTTCACATAAAAGTGTGGACTCCATGCAACTTTTTGACATAAATTAATGGGGGGTCGACACCAACTGGTAATTGGAAACATTAATACAGGACTAGTACAATTCGGAACATCAAACCATCTACAGATTAGACAAACGTAACAAGGAAAAATAGGGTTTTTATCAAGAATTTGAATGGAAAAACGCCCCTTTTCTTGCAGCTTGGTGAAACCACATGAGTACCGCATTTTGAGGTTGGATTTCCAAGCTATACTAAAAGCGGGGCAATCAAAATAGATATTACTAACCATTTTGACTCCGAACTGAAGCCCCTGAGGTCCTCTGTCCTGCTACTGATAAAGGACTTGCTACAAGCGACATTTTCCAAATAAAGATTCAGCCGACCAAGAAAACAATGAATCGAATTCTACAACACCTGACACTTTTTATAGAAGACAGGATGGACAGGAACGAGACACAGTGTTGTCAATGGGAACACGGGAATAAGCATTACACTATCTTTGTTTAAAAACCTTGATATCATTATTGATATTTCAATTATTATTTCATCTAAGCGTTTGAACGTCAAAGACATCGGTAAATAATTTTCAACTAAAAGCAAAAAGCGTTACGAACCTCAACATTAATTAATAAATAATTTTTAAATTCTATTTATTCACATACAGCGCAATAAGAAGATGAAATCGGGTCTTAACCCTAAAAATGTTGTATTCGCGGGAATCTGACGTCTAAATTCAGTGCATACAAACATTTATGGTCAATTTAAAACTGAATTGAATAGTTTTTAGACTAAAAGATGGACACAAACGCAAGAAGGAGACGAGCACATAAAACGATAATTGATACATGTTCAGAGCTGTACAGTCACGATGTAAGTTTATACGAAGAGATACCTAGAACGGAAATACAACTAGCAGAGTTCCAAGAACTCGCAGTAGATCGAGTACAATTATTGAGAATTGTTGAACAAAGCTCATTAAAGGGGTACAAGTTCTTCTCAGACGAATGGAAGAAATGTATCAAAGATGATTTAATAAAGAACAACTTGAAAAAGTACGTTCGCCTTATGAGTGGCTTATGTGGACACACTGAACTGGATATCCAAGCTAGAAGGGCAGATCATATATCCCATTACATCTTAAGATTGGCATATTGTCGCAGCGAGGATTTGCGACGATGGTTTTTGGCTCGAGAATTAGACTGGTTTAGAATTAAGTTTGCAGCTCAGAGCTCATCAGGTAGCGTAGACTTGATATAGATTAGTTGATTTAGTATATCAGGGAGAAGCTGGTACCTTGATCCATTCAGATAATTTCAGTTTATCAGGAGCATTCTAAGCAAACTCAGGTTGTTACTTGATACAGTACATAAGCACGTAACTTTTAGTAATTTTTGATAAACGGTTGTTTTGGGAGCAGTGTGTGCTCTTACGCACCCTCTTAATTGCTTTCTATTTATTTACACAGTTTGTTAATAGAATGTTCGCATGTCTTATGTAAAAATTGGGGATCTAGACAATTTATTCTGACGGTTTTTACGTGTTTATTCTAGCATCGTTTAGAACAGAAAAGTAATTTGGTTTTGGTCTAATAAGGTTGGGACCTCGAATTTTGGATAGTGCTGTTAAAAAGTGTTTTCGGAAAGAGATTAACATACAATAAATGAACACGTAGTTTTAATATATTATTATTGTGCTTCTCTTCAAATAATATAATGCATTTATTTAGAAAAATTATATTTTTTACTAGGCAAAACTTTAACGCATTTTTTAATTGCTCTGTATAAGCTGGCAATAAAATGTAAATGAACATTTTTATAGCGATACAGAATTTTTTGAAGCTAAATACGCTGAATTATACGCCAATTTCCCATGAGTGCAAGGAAGGTCTAAAGGATCAGCTGACAGAATCAACTATGGGATTAACTGATGTAATGGTTACCACATCTGATTTCTACAAAGTTTCTTTCCTGGATGTTCTGCCCTTGATTAGAAGTAGAAAGGTATTTTTGAAAGAAGGGTTAGTACTTATTGAGAAGCTACAAGACGATTTATTGAATATCTATATTTAGGTACGCATATATCCCAACTGCGGATCTTGTAGTTTGCATACAGTCGAAATTCAGGAGCAAACTGAGTGAAGCGTTAAATCAAATAAATCACAAATTGCCTCTTCTTGATGATGAAAGGCTAAGTGATTTATGCAATCTGCATCAAACATATACCGGACAAGAGTATGTGGTTGGAAATAATAAGGTATTTCATGCATTTGGCTAATTTGATTCCATACATAATATGTGATATTATTTTAGAATTCCATAAATCCCGCAGATATTGATCAATTTTCAAGCAAACACTATCCATTGTGCATGAGGCATCTTCATGAAGTTTTGAGAACTAATCACCATTTAAAGCACAATGCCAGATTAATTTATGGACTGTACCTGAAGGGCATAGGTAGAAACTAAAAATAATGTCCACATGAGTTACTGGATTTAATTATGTGTTTTTTAGGTTTACAGTATGAGCAATTTATTGAATTCTGGCGACAAGAATTTACTAAAGTTATGGATGGTGAAAAGTTCAACAAAGAGCACTTGTACAACTTCAATCATCAATTTGGAAAAGTTGGAAAAATGACGGATTATTCTCCCTACAGTTGCATGAAAATAATCATGGGCAATGTAGGTCCTGGTGAATCACACGGCTGTCCTTTCAAGCATTCGGAGCCTGCCGTCTTAAAGTCCAAGCTAAATGAATATGGTGTTTCCACAGATGGTAAGATTCGTTTTCATGCTATCGCATACTAAAAAAGATCGTTTAGATTATTTTTTATTTTAAAAATTTCTAGACCCATAACGTATTTTTTATTTTTTTCAGGTTTAACTGAAATTATGTCACTAGTGAAAAATGGCCATTATCAAATCGCTTGTACTAAGTATTTTGAACATGTACATTTACAACCGCCCACTATTACTATCAATCATCCGAACCAATATTTTGAAGAAAGTAGGAACTTATCCATAGATAAGGATAAATCTCTCAGAATATAGAATTAATTTTATATAACATTTTTGTATCATATTCAATAAACATTTATAGTCCCGCTATTATTATTATCATCCAATTGGTTTTTGATACCTAAGTTGTAGACACCATGAGTTTCATAAACTTCTTATAACGTAAACAATAGAAATTAGAACGTTTACGATATACCAACGGAGAGACGGCGCCCCAAGAAGTAAATAACTACAATGCTTTCGTAATACTAGCGACTAGAACGAGTACTTTAGTAACGGATCCGAAGTAACGTCGTTAGGAGAATTCAAAAGTAACCAAATCTCACACCGTTAACGTATACCATGCAATGGAGGACTGGATTAACCATGAAGCGCGTGTTTCTGAGCCCGGTCCCCCTATTTTTTTGTACCCCAAGCTTTATTTATCAATGATTCGGAATCAATTAAATTTAACTCTCGAGACAATCCTCGGGCACCCTCTATACGTAGGCGTTTGCCATTCGTGTTCCTAGCAAAATTCTTGGCGTTTCTCAGCCGCAAGGGTCTTAATCCGCCTATGATTAAATGCGTAATATTTTGACGAACATTAATGAAAATCCTCAGTAACTATGTTACTAGGTCAAATCTGTAATCTGATATAAAACCTCTAGGTGCAACCATCGTTTAATGTTGACTGTTTCCAAATATCAATAGATGCAGGTGCTAAAAAACTGTTGAAAACAAGTTAACTTTTACTAAATACATATTTAAATAGTCTTTCTGCTATGCATTACGCTAAATTAAACGGCATCGCCTATTTCCATATTATTCCAAATATAAAACATATTAAAGAGGAGAGTGTGCTCTTCAATCATTCTACCCAAAAGAAATCCTAATCAATTACGACGGCACGTGTTTGAATTCGTATGACCTTCACAGGCAAGATAATGTATATTCAAAAATATCCCGAACGGGAACAGGTTGTTGCGCAGACGGGAGTTTCCAGTTTTCCAAGAGTTTCCCTTTACTTTTGCGGGTCCAGTGCTCTCTTTGATATCGGTATAAGACTAGTGTGGTAACCGAAAAAGGGATTTCGTCGTGCCGCGATCAGAAACAGAGACACGTGCTTGAACTTTGCCTAATTTGTTATGTGCGGTTTGTCCAAAATTGAAAGCCATTCTTGCGTGAAATGGATATGGGTGTATGCAACGAGGTTTTAAATATTCACTTTAAATATTTTCACTCATCTTAACACAGAACTGGGATTAAGAACTGGTAGGTTTACAGTCAGAGCCGTTAACAGTCATCTAAAAAAAAAAAATAGAGGAAACATAGTTTGATCCCAGTTAAGCCAATTAATACTAACAATATGTTGCTACAACTTTTTAAAAAACTAGGCTCCAATTTTGGATATCAGGTAGACTTGAAGACATTTTCAAATTACCTATTAGGTACCCTTCTAGTAATTTTAAAGCAACAAATTTCCGAGCCTTAAAAAATGTTTCCATCTGCATTTGCATGTAAAATATGATTTTAAATTTACTATTAAATTATAACTAAACAAATAAATAAATAAATCCTCTCTAAAGTGATAAAAATTTGCCGGTTTAGTCACCTTACTTAAAGAGTTTCGAAATTGCAGAACACACTAGCATAACACCTCTGAAAATACTGTATCAATTGGGATTGATATGAAATATGTCGTCTAGCAATAAAGTGGACGTTTTACTAAACTTTAAGCTAAATTAATTGAAAACTATTTTTTTTAATTTCAATATCTTGTATCTTCGGGGCTCATTTTGTCCAAAAGCGTACGTTTATAAAGCAAAACATGTTGTTTTTTGAGTTCTCCAACGCCTCTAAATGTTTATGAGCATTTCCATAAAACCTTCCATTGATTGAACCTAACAGTGAGTTGAGACTTTAAAAATAGGAAAAATAACCGAAACATTTCAAGTAATATAGTAGATTATGATTTTCCCGCAATAGTTCAAATTTCGAGTGGATCTTGTTTGACAAGCTTTAAACCATCTAGAGCTGTGCTATTTAAAGTGTTTAAAGATTGCATATTTTTATATATTTAATTTTTTTTTTAATATTCCTTCCAAGTTTGTTTAAACAGTGCCAGGCTCTAACTTGGAATAAATTCAGTAAATTAAATCTAGAGTCTTTTAAATTTAGTTAATTACATTGGTCTGTATTGTATTTCTTACGTGTATTGTTTGTGTTATGTATTGCTTTGTTGTTTTCTTGTTTTTTCTTCTTTAATGTCATTTGCTTTGTTCATAAAAGTTATTTCAGATTTTCTGTGGCAATAAAGCATATTGTGATTTGAATTTATGAGGTTATTCGTGTCCGAGAACAGTAAAAAAAACTAACTATTCTCGAACACCTCGATTGATATTCTAAATTGCGCTCTTTTTCAAGTCAGGAAATTTGATACAGCGTGTCCCAAATTTGAGGTACGATATCTTTGACCATGTCTTTAAAATAGCAATCTTAATTTCTTACGACAATTCTCAAAAAAGTTTTATGAAGTGAAACAGGTGTATTAAATATGAAATTGTTAGTTCTTGTTTAAAATACATTTCGTTAACATCGAGTAGTTCGAACATGAAAGATTCTGATTGTACTCAATAATACTTCTTAATTAATGCTCAAAACATCCATTAAATAACTGACAAATTTTTTAAGCAGGATTTTAATTGGTTTTAACTATTTCTAATTATTTAGGTGAAAATCAGCCTACACTCTTGTCTTAAAAACTTTGGTGTTCCAGCTAATAAGCCTCCATAAGAAATAGTTCATAGCTGTTAAATCAGCAGACCTGGGAGGACATTCAACGGGTCCTCGCCTAGCAATACCCTGTTAAAAAATCTGGTTGCATTTTCARTCAAATCCAATTGAAGTTTTTTSCACATTCSGACTGAAATTCCACTGACTTTCATTCCACATTCCAACTGAAAATTCAGMTACTTGTGATTGAAAATTCAAAAGACTTTTGGACGCATATTTTCACATAAAAGTCATGGTAAATAAAATGCTTTCRATCCAARTAAATTGATGAAATAAAAGGATTTTAAACATTTTAAAAGAAGCAACACTAGAATGCTTAAAACTATAATTTTAAGAATTATCGCCACTGAACACTGGCGTATTTCGAGTTCTTTGGAGAAATGCCAAGTGGGGATATGATAAATTTTTTGAACAGGGAGAACTACATTTAGTTTGACCTCTTTTTCCCATTTTCACTTTGACCATTTTCCCGAAACTAGATTTCCATCTTGCTTATGGTAATTTGCTGTATGGGTGGTAAATCAGAATAGCACTTTCTCAATCAAAGAATCTTTTAATTTTGTGCTTTTGTTCTCTTGATTTATTTATTAAAACTGGGTTTTAATTAACAAATTTTTTTTTGGTTTAATTTGGTCAAAATTAACACGTTGAGACGAAAAATTATTTTAGGCTCTCAAATTCTTTAGTTGAATAAGAGTTCTTCATTTTCGAATAAAAGTTCTTCATATTGTTTCATATGTTAGTTTAAAATATTTTCAACGAGTTGAGAATTACTAATCTTCGTGTTGAGAATTTTCTTTTATATGCCGATGATGTATTTCCAAATTATCTTCTAAAATATAGATTTATAATACAATTATACATACATACAGGGTGTCGAAGCGAAAACATGTTTACGCTTTACCGGTTTTATTTCTTTCGAAATAAGATTTGCCATAAGATAAAAGTAGTAAATGCATCTAATTGAAAAATATTGACTGTTATTCAGGGTGCCTCATAAAAGGATCAGGACTAAAATAAAGGTTTCTTATACCGTTACCCTATATTTTATTTAATTTTTAAGGAATAACTTCCGGTGTAAATTTTTGTTATATGAAATATAAAATATTAGCGTAAATAGGATAGTTTTAGTTGAAAATTAGTCTTTTAATAGTGCATATTTTACATTCAAAATATTAATTACAATTTATTTTTATTAAGGGATTATTGACAAGTTAATAATAAGAAATTTGGGCTTTAGATGTTTTTTGATGACATCAGTAGTTAATTAACATTTTTTACATTTATTTAGATACATATTCCTGTAAAAATACTGTGTACATTTATTTAAAAATATGCTATTTTATAATATTAAAATATTTACATTAGTACTTTTTTAATTGAAACTTTAGCCGTTAGAAAAAATTACAATTTTTGCTCTATGCAGCTGTAAAATTTTACGGCACATTTTAAAAACTTTACAGCACATCAAAGTGCCGCGGCACAGTGGTTGAGAATCACTGCTCTATTCTGCCAGATTAATGGTTAATAAAAATACAATTAATTGATACAATGTAAATTAGTACAATAAATGACGACAAATGTATTAACTCATTCTGCGCTATTCGCTCGCCGAAGATAATCTAATCTTTTCAATTTTCCAATTCAAGAACAAACTTTCCCGATTATATATTCATCGCATGTGGGATGGCGGGTTTAATTGAACCGGTGGCACGTGGCTGAACTTTCAGCTCTCCAGAATGTAGGTTTTCCGAACTGGAGTAATACAATTATTTATGGAAACCCGTTACTAATTTTAGATATGTGATTACTATACATTACTATACACAAAAGAGGACATTCATTGATCAGCGCAACAAAAAATAGAAACCCTATCTACAAATTTACAGGGTGGCTCAAAAAAAATCTACTTTTTTGGTTTCATAAACAAGATAACTAACAACTAAATCACATTTGAATTTTAACTGGAATAGGTTTTATGTGATTTTTAATTCTCTGACTAAATTTTGAATAATATTTATTGGTTTTACAAAAAAGCGGTGGGAAACTYTTTTTTCAGGCATAMGCTTTTGTTAATTCCAACCGTATCCCTTATAACGTAAAACGCGAWTTTTTCTCATAAAGTTTAACGCCATTTAGAGGCAAAAAAATGGWATAGTCGGACGGATCCTGCCCGCTGAAAATTCCTATTATAAATTGTTTGGCAAAAATTATACGTTTAGAGTGTTCACTTTGAAAAAAAGAACYTATAAGTTAATTAAGTAGTCCAGGATCATTTGCGGTATTTTACGGTGCTATMCGTTAGACCATTACAA